CAGTTGGTCCAGCCGGTCCAATTGACCAACAGGCCAGTTGGTCCAGCCGGTCCATTTGACCAACAGTCCAGTTGGTCCAGCCGGTCCAATTGACCAACAGTCCAGTTGGTCCAACCGGTCCAATTGACCAACAGTCCAGTTGGTCCAGCCGGTCCAATTGACCAACAGTCCAGTTGGTCCAGCCGGTCCAATTGACCAACAGGCCAGTTGGTCCAGCCGGTCCATTTGACCAACAGGCCAGTTGGTCCAGCCGGTCCGATTGACCAACAGTCCAGTTGGTCCAACCGGTCCAATTGACCAACAGGCCAGTTGGTCCAGCCGGTCCAATTGACCAACAGTCCAGTTGGTCCAGCCGGTCCAATTGACCAACAGTCCAGTTGGTCCAGCCGGTCCAATTGACCAACAGTCCAGTTGGTCCAGCCGGTCCAATTGACCAACAGGCCAGTTGGTCCAGCCGGTCCAATTGACCAACAGTCCAGTTGGTCCAGCCGGTCCAATTGACCAACAGGCCAGTTGGTCAAGCCGGTCCATTTGACCAACAGGCCAGTTGGTCCAGCCGGTCCGATTGACCAACAGTCCAGTTGGTCCAGCCGGTCCAATTGACCAACAGGCCAGTTGGTCCAGCCGGTCCGATTGACCAACAGGCCAGTTGGTCCAACCGGTCCAATTGACCAACAGGCCAGTTGGTCCAGCCGGTCCAATTGACCAACAGGCCAGTTGGTCCAACCGGTCCAATTGACCAACAGGCCAGTTGGTCCAGCCGGTCCGATTGACCAACAGTCCAGTTGGTCCAGCCGGTCCAATTGACCAACAGGCCAGTTGGTCCAGCCGGTCCGATTGACCAACAGGCCAGTTGGTCCAACCGGTCCAATTGACCAACAGTCCAGTTGGTCCAGCCGGTCCAATTGACCAACAGTCCAGTTGGTCCAACCGGTCCAATTGACCAACAGGCCAGTTGGTCCAGCCGGTCCAATTGACCAACAGGCCAGTTGGTCCAGCCGGTCCAATTGACCAACAGTCCAGTTGGTCCAACCGGTCCAATTGACCAACAGGCCAGTTGGTCCAGCCGGTCCAATTGACCAACAGTCCAGTTGGTCCAGCCGGTCCAATTGACCAACAGTCCAGTTGGTCCAGCCGGTCCAATTGACCAACAGGCCAGTTGGTCCAGCCGGTCCAATTGACCAACAGGCCAGTTGGTCCAGCCGGTCCAATTGACCAACAGTCCAGTTGGTCCAACCGGTCCAATTGACCAACAGGCCAGTTGGTCCAGCCGGTCCAATTGACCAACAGGCCAGTTGGTCCAGCCGGTCCGATTGACCAACAGTCCAGTTGGTCCAGCCGGTCCAATTGACCAACAGTCCAGTTGGTCCAGCCGGTCCGATTGACCAACAGGCCAGTTGGTCCAGCCGGTCCGATTGACCAACAGGCCAGTTGGTCCAACCGGTCCAATTGACCAACAGGCCAGTTGGTCCAGCCGGTCCAATTGACCAACAGGCCAGTTGGTCCAACCGGTCCATTGACCAACAGGCCAGTTGGTCCAGCCGGTCCAATTGACCAACAGTCCAGTTGGTCCAACCGGTCCAATTGACCAACAGTCCAGTTGGTCCAGCCGGTCCAATTGACCAACAGTCCAGTTGGTCCAGCCGGTCCAATTGACCAACAGGCCAGTTGGTCCAGCCGGTCCATTGACCAACAGGCCAGTTGGTCCAGCCGGTCCGATTGACCAACAGTCCAGTTGGTCCAACCGGTCCAATTGACCAACAGGCCAGTTGGTCCAGCCGGTCCAATTGACCAACAGCCCAGTTGGTCCAGCCGGTCCAATTGACCAACAGTCCAGTTGGTCCAGCCGGTCCAATTGACCAACAGGCCAGTTGGTCCAGCCGGTCCAATTGACCAACAGTCCAGTTGGTCCAACCGGTCCAATTGACCAACAGGCCAGTTGGTCCAGCCGGTCCAATTGACCAACAGGCCAGTTGGTCCAGCCGGTCCGATTGACCAACAGTCCAGTTGGTCCAACCGGTCCAATTGACCAACAGGCCAGTTGGTCCAGCCGGTCCAATTGACCAACAGGCCAGTTGGTCCAGCCGGTCCGATTGACCAACAGGCCAGTTGGTCCAGCCGGTCCAATTGACCAACAGGCCAGTTGGTCCAGCCGGTCCGATTGACCAACAGGCCAGTTGGTCCAACCGGTCCAATTGACCAACAGGCCAGTTGGTCCAGCCGGTCCGATTGACCAACAGTCCAGTTGGTCCAGCCGGTCCAATTGACCAACAGGCCAGTTGGTCCAGCCGGTCCGATTGACCAACAGGCCAGTTGGTCCAACCGGTCCAATTGACCAACAGTCCAGTTGGTCCAGCCGGTCCGATTGACCAACAGTCCAGTTGGTCCAACCGGTCCGATTGACCAACAGTCCAGTTGGTCCAACCGGTCCAATTGACCAACAGGCCAGTTGGTCAAGCCGGTCCATTTGACCAACAGGCCAGTTGGTCCAGCCGGTCCGATTGACCAACAGTCCAGTTGGTCCAGCCGGTCCAATTGACCAACAGGCCAGTTGGTCCAGCCGGTCCAATTGACCAACAGTCCAGTTGGTCCAACCGGTCCAATTGACCAACAGGCCAGTTGGTCCAGCCGGTCCGATTGACCAACAGTCCAGTTGGTCCAGCCGGTCCATTTGACCAACAGGCCAGTTGGTCCAGCCGGTCCGATTGACCAACAGTCCAGTTGGTCCAACCGGTCCAATTGACCAACAGGCCAGTTGGTCCAGCCGGTCCAATTGACCAACAGGCCAGTTGGTCCAGCCGGTCCATTGACCAACAGTCCAGTTGGTCCAACCGGTCCAATTGACCAACAGGCCAGTTGGTCCAGCCGGTCCAATTGACCAACAGGCCAGTTGGTCCAGCCGGTCCGATTGACCAACAGTCCAGTTGGTCCAACCGGTCCAATTGACCAACAGGCCAGTTGGTCCAACCGGTCCAATTGACCAACAGGCCAGTTGGTCCAGCCGGTCCAATTGACCAACAGGCCAGTTGGTCCAGCCGGTCCGATTGACCAACAGTCCAGTTGGTCCAACCGGTCCAATTGACCAACAGGCCAGTTGGTCCAGCCGGTCCAATTGACCAACAGTCCAGTTGGTCCAGCCGGTCCAATTGACCAACAGTCCAGTTGGTCCAGCCGGTCCAATTGACCAACAGTCCAGTTGGTCCAGCCGGTCCAATTGACCAACAGGCCAGTTGGTCCAGCCGGTCCAATTGACCAACAGTCCAGTTGGTCCAACCGGTCCAATTGACCAACAGGCCAGTTGGTCCAGCCGGTCCAATTGACCAACAGGCCAGTTGGTCCAGCCGGTCCGATTGACCAACAGTCCAGTTGGTCCAACCGGTCCAATTGACCAACAGGCCAGTTGGTCCAGCCGGTCCATTTGACCAACAGGCCAGTTGGTCCAGCCGGTCCGATTGACCAACAGGCCAGTTGGTCCAGCCGGTCCAATTGACCAACAGGCCAGTTGGTCCAGCCGGTCCGATTGACCAACAGGCCAGTTGGTCCACCGGTCCAATTGACCAACAGGCCAGTTGGTCCAGCCGGTCCGATTGACCAACAGTCCAGTTGGTCCAGCCGGTCCAATTGACCAACAGGCCAGTTGGTCCAGCCGGTCCGATTGACCAACAGGCCAGTTGGTCCAACCGGTCCAATTGACCAACAGTCCAGTTGGTCCAGCCGGTCCGATTGACCAACAGTCCAGTTGGTCCAGCCGGTCCGATTGACCAACAGTCCAGTTGGTCCAACCGGTCCAATTGACCAACAGGCCAGTTGGTCCAGCCGGTCCGATTGACCAACAGTCCAGTTGGTCCAGCCGGTCCAATTGACCAACAGGCCAGTTGGTCCAGCCGGTCCGATTGACCAACAGTCCAGTTGGTCCAACCGGTCCAATTGACCAACAGGCCAGTTGGTCCAGCCGGTCCGATTGACCAACAGTCCAGTTGGTCCAGCCGGTCCAATTGACCAACAGGCCAGTTGGTCCAGCCGGTCCGATTGACCAACAGGCCAGTTGGTCCAACCGGTCCAATTGACCAACAGTCCAGTTGGTCCAGCCGGTCCGATTGACCAACAGTCCAGTTGGTCCAGCCGGTCCATTGACCAACAGTCCAGTTGGTCCAACCGGTCCAATTGACCAACAGTCCAGTTGGTCCAGCCGGTCCAATTGACCAACAGGCCAGTTGGTCCAGCCGGTCCAATTGACCAACAGGCCAGTTGGTCCAGCCGGTCCAATTGACCAACAGGCCAGTTGGTCCAACCGGTCCAATTGACCAACAGGCCAGTTGGTCCAGCCGGTCCAATTGACCAACAGGCCAGTTGGTCCAACCGGTCCGATTGACCAACAGGCCAGTTGGTCCAACCGGTCCGATTGACCAACAGTCCAGTTGGTCCAACCGGTCCAATTGACCAACAGTCCAGTTGGTCCAGCCGGTCCAATTGACCAACAGGCCAGTTGGTCCAGCCGGTCCAATTGACCAACAGGCCAGTTGGTCCAGCCGGTCCAATTGACCAACAGGCCAGTTGGTCCAACCGGTCCAATTGACCAACAGGCCAGTTGGTCCAGCCGGTCCAATTGACCAACAGGCCAGTTGGTCCAACCGGTCCAATTGACCAACAGGCCAGTTGGTCCAGCCGGTCCAATTGACCAACAGGCCAGTTGGTCCAGCCGGTCCGATTGACCAACAGTCCAGTTGGTCCAACCGGTCCAATTGACCAACAGGCCAGTTGGTCCAGCCGGTCCGATTGACCAACAGTCCAGTTGGTCCAGCCGGTCCAATTGACCAACAGGCCAGTTGGTCCAGCCGGTCCGATTGACCAACAGGCCAGTTGGTCCAACCGGTCCAATTGACCAACAGTCCAGTTGGTCCAGCCGGTCCAATTGACCAACAGTCCAGTTGGTCCAACCGGTCCAATTGACCAACAGTCCAGTTGGTCCAACCGGTCCAATTGACCAACAGGCCAGTTGGTCAAGCCGGTCCATTTGACCAACAGGCCAGTTGGTCCAGCCGGTCCAATTGACCAACAGGCCAGTTGGTCCAGCCGGTCCGATTGACCAACAGGCCAGTTGGTCCAGCCGGTCCAATTGACCAACAGTCCAGTTGGTCCAGCCGGTCCAATTGACCAACAGGCCAGTTGGTCCAACCGGTCCAATTGACCAACAGTCCAGTTGGTCCAGCCGGTCCGATTGACCAACAGTCCAGTTGGTCCAACCGGTCCAATTGACCAACAGGCCAGTTGGTCCAGCCGGTCCAATTGACCAACAGGCCAGTTGGTCCAGCCGGTCCAATTGACCAACAGTCCAGTTGGTCCAACCGGTCCAATTGACCAACAGGCCAGTTGGTCCAGCCGGTCCAATTGACCAACAGGCCAGTTGGTCCAGCCGGTCCGATTGACCAACAGTCCAGTTGGTCCAACCGGTCCAATTGACCAACAGGCCAGTTGGTCCAGCCGGTCCAATTGACCAACAGTCCAGTTGGTCCAGCCGGTCCAATTGACCAACAGTCCAGTTGGTCCAGCCGGTCCGATTGACCAACAGGCCAGTTGGTCCAGCCGGTCCGATTGACCAACAGGCCAGTTGGTCCAACCGGTCCAATTGACCAACAGTCCAGTTGGTCCAGCCGGTCCGATTGACCAACAGTCCAGTTGGTCCAACCGGTCCAATTGACCAACAGGCCAGTTGGTCCAGCCGGTCCGATTGACCAACAGGCCAGTTGGTCCAGCCGGTCCAATTGACCAACAGGCCAGTTGGTCCAGCCGGTCCGATTGACCAACAGGCCAGTTGGTCCAGCCGGTCCAATTGACCAACAGGCCAGTTGGTCCAGCCGGTCCGATTGACCAACAGGCCAGTTGGTCCAGCCGGTCCGATTGACCAACAGTCCAGTTGGTCCAACCGGTCCAATTGACCAACAGGCCAGTTGGTCCAACCGGTCCAATTGACCAACAGGCCAGTTGGTCCAGCCGGTCCAATTGACCAACAGGCCAGTTGGTCCAACCGGTCCAATTGACCAACAGGCCAGTTGGTCCAGCCGGTCCAATTGACCAACAGGCCAGTTGGTCCAGCCGGTCCGATTGACCAACAGGCCAGTTGGTCCAGCCGGTCCAATTGACCAACAGGCCAGTTGGTCCAGCCGGTCCAATTGACCAACAGGCCAGTTGGTCCAGCCGGTCCGATTGACCAACAGGCCAGTTGGTCCAGCCGGTCCAATTGACCAACAGTCCAGTTGGTCCAGCCGGTCCAATTGACCAACAGGCCAGTTGGTCCAGCCGGTCCAATTGACCAACAGTCCAGTTGGTCCAACCGGTCCAATTGACCAACAGGCCAGTTGGTCCAGCCGGTCCAATTGACCAACAGGCCAGTTGGTCCAGCCGGTCCGATTGACCAACAGGCCAGTTGGTCCAACCGGTCCAATTGACCAACAGGCCAGTTGGTCCAGCCGGTCCAATTGACCAACAGGCCAGTTGGTCCAGCCGGTCCAATTGACCAACAGTCCAGTTGGTCCAACCGGTCCAATTGACCAACAGGCCAGTTGGTCCAGCCGGTCCAATTGACCAACAGGCCAGTTGGTCCAGCCGGTCCGATTGACCAACAGTCCAGTTGGTCCAACCGGTCCGATTGACCAACAGTCCAGTTGGTCCAACCGGTCCAATTGACCAACAGGCCAGTTGGTCCAGCCGGTCCAATTGACCAACAGTCCAGTTGGTCCAGCCGGTCCGATTGACCAACAGGCCAGTTGGTCCAGCCGGTCCAATTGACCAACAGGCCAGTTGGTCCAACCGGTCCAATTGACCAACAGGCCAGTTGGTCCAGCCGGTCCAATTGACCAACAGGCCAGTTGGTCCAGCCGGTCCAATTGACCAACAGTCCAGTTGGTCCAGCCGGTCCAATTGACCAACAGTCCAGTTGGTCCAACCGGTCCAATTGACCAACAGTCCAGTTGGTCCAGCCGGTCCAATTGACCAACAGTCCAGTTGGTCCAGCCGGTCCAATTGACCAACAGGCCAGTTGGTCCAGCCGGTCCATTTGACCAACAGGCCAGTTGGTCCAGCCGGTCCGATTGACCAACAGTCCAGTTGGTCCAACCGGTCCAATTGACCAACAGGCCAGTTGGTCCAGCCGGTCCAATTGACCAACAGTCCAGTTGGTCCAGCCGGTCCAATTGACCAACAGTCCAGTTGGTCCAGCCGGTCCAATTGACCAACAGTCCAGTTGGTCCAGCCGGTCCAATTGACCAACAGGCCAGTTGGTCCAGCCGGTCCAATTGACCAACAGTCCAGTTGGTCCAACCGGTCCAATTGACCAACAGGCCAGTTGGTCCAGCCGGTCCAATTGACCAACAGGCCAGTTGGTCCAGCCGGTCCGATTGACCAACAGTCCAGTTGGTCCAACCGGTCCAATTGACCAACAGGCCAGTTGGTCCAGCCGGTCCAATTGACCAACAGGCCAGTTGGTCCAGCCGGTCCGATTGACCAACAGTCCAGTTGGTCCAGCCGGTCCAATTGACCAACAGTCCAGTTGGTCCAGCCGGTCCATTGACCAACAGGCCAGTTGGTCCAGCCGGTCCAATTGACCAACAGTCCAGTTGGTCCAGCCGGTCCGATTGACCAACAGGCCAGTTGGTCCAGCCGGTCCAATTGACCAACAGGCCAGTTGGTCCAACCGGTCCAATTGACCAACAGGCCAGTTGGTCCAGCCGGTCCAATTGACCAACAGGCCAGTTGGTCCAGCCGGTCCATTTGACCAACAGGCCAGTTGGTCCAGCCGGTCCAATTGACCAACAGTCCAGTTGGTCCAGCCGGTCCAATTGACCAACAGTCCAGTTGGTCCAGCCGGTCCAATTGACCAACAGGCCAGTTGGTCCAGCCGGTCCAATTGACCAACAGTCCAGTTGGTCCAACCGGTCCAATTGACCAACAGGCCAGTTGGTCCAGCCGGTCCAATTGACCAACAGGCCAGTTGGTCCAGCCGGTCCATTTGACCAACAGGCCAGTTGGTCCAGCCGGTCCAATTGACCAACAGTCCAGTTGGTCCAGCCGGTCCAATTGACCAACAGGCCAGTTGGTCCAGCCGGTCCAATTGACCAACAGGCCAGTTGGTCCAGCCGGTCCAATTGACCAACAGTCCAGTTGGTCCAACCGGTCCAATTGACCAACAGGCCAGTTGGTCCAGCCGGTCCAATTGACCAACAGGCCAGTTGGTCCAGCCGGTCCAATTGACCAACAGTCCAGTTGGTCCAACCGGTCCAATTGACCAACAGGCCAGTTGGTCCAGCCGGTCCAATTGACCAACAGGCCAGTTGGTCCAGCCGGTCCAATTGACCAACAGTCCAGTTGGTCCAGCCGGTCCGATTGACCAACAGGCCAGTTGGTCCAGCCGGTCCAATTGACCAACAGGCCAGTTGGTCCAGCCGGTCCAATTGACCAACAGGCCAGTTGGTCCAGCCGGTCCAATTGACCAACAGGCCAGTTGGTCCAGCCGGTCCAATTGACCAACAGGCCAGTTGGTCCAGCCGGTCCAATTGACCAACAGTCCAGTTGGTCCAGCCGGTCCAATTGACCAACAGTCCAGTTGGTCCAGCCGGTCCAATTGACCAACAGGCCAGTTGGTCCAGCCGGTCCAATTGACCAACAGTCCAGTTGGTCCAACCGGTCCAATTGACCAACAGGCCAGTTGGTCCAGCCGGTCCAATTGACCAACAGGCCAGTTGGTCCAGCCGGTCCGATTGACCAACAGTCCAGTTGGTCCAACCGGTCCAATTGACCAACAGGCCAGTTGGTCCAGCCGGTCCAATTGACCAACAGGCCAGTTGGTCCAGCCGGTCCGATTGACCAACAGTCCAGTTGGTCCAACCGGTCCAATTGACCAACAGGCCAGTTGGTCCAGCCGGTCCAATTGACCAACAGGCCAGTTGGTCCAGCCGGTCCAATTGACCAACAGTCCAGTTGGTCCAGCCGGTCCAATTGACCAACAGGCCAGTTGGTCCAGCCGGTCCAATTGACCAACAGTCCAGTTGGTCCAGCCGGTCCAATTGACCAACAGTCCAGTTGGTCCAGCCGGTCCAATTGACCAACAGGCCAGTTGGTCCAGCCGGTCCATTTGACCAACAGGCCAGTTGGTCCAACCGGTCCATTTGACCAACAGGCCAGTTGGTCCAGCCGGTCCAATTGACCAACAGGCCAGTTGGTCCAGCCGGTCCAATTGACCAACAGGCCAGTTGGTCCAGCCGGTCCAATTGACCAACAGTCCAGTTGGTCCAACCGGTCCAATTGACCAACAGGCCAGTTGGTCCAGCCGGTCCAATTGACCAACAGTCCAGTTGGTCCAGCCGGTCCAATTGACCAACAGGCCAGTTGGTCCAGCCGGTCCAATTGACCAACAGGCCAGTTGGTCCAGCCGGTCCATTGACCAACAGGCCAGTTGGTCCAACCGGTCCAATTGACCAACAGGCCAGTTGGTCCAGCCGGTCCAATTGACCAACAGGCCAGTTGGTCCAGCCGGTCCAATTGACCAACAGGCCAGTTGGTCCAGCCGGTCCAATTGACCAACAGTCCAGTTGGTCCAGCCGGTCCAATTGACCAACAGGCCAGTTGGTCCAGCCGGTCCAATTGACCAACAGTCCAGTTGGTCCAACCGGTCCAATTGACCAACAGGCCAGTTGGTCCAGCCGGTCCAATTGACCAACAGGCCAGTTGGTCCAGCCGGTCCAATTGACCAACAGGCCAGTTGGTCCAACCGGTCCAATTGACCAACAGGCCAGTTGGTCCAGCCGGTCCAATTGACCAACAGTCCAGTTGGTCCAGCCGGTCCAATTGACCAACAGTCCAGTTGGTCCAGCCGGTCCAATTGACCAACAGGCCAGTTGGTCCAGCCGGTCCAATTGACCAACAGGCCAGTTGGTCCAGCCGGTCCAATTGACCAACAGTCCAGTTGGTCCAACCGGTCCAATTGACCAACAGGCCAGTTGGTCCAGCCGGTCCAATTGACCAACAGGCCAGTTGGTCCAGCCGGTCCAATTGACCAACAGTCCAGTTGGTCCAGCCGGTCCAATTGACCAACAGGCCAGTTGGTCCAGCCGGTCCGATTGACCAACAGGCCAGTTGGTCCAGCCGGTCCAATTGACCAACAGGCCAGTTGGTCCAACCGGTCCAATTGACCAACAGGCCAGTTGGTCCAGCCGGTCCAATTGACCAACAGGCCAGTTGGTCCAGCCGGTCCAATTGACCAACAGGCCAGTTGGTCCAGCCGGTCCAATTGACCAACAGTCCAGTTGGTCCAACCGGTCCAATTGACCAACAGTCCAGTTGGTCCAGCCGGTCCAATTGACCAACAGTCCAGTTGGTCCAGCCGGTCCAATTGACCAACAGGCCAGTTGGTCCAGCCGGTCCATTTGACCAACAGGCCAGTTGGTCCAGCCGGTCCGATTGACCAACAGTCCAGTTGGTCCAACCGGTCCAATTGACCAACAGGCCAGTTGGTCCAGCCGGTCCAATTGACCAACAGTCCAGTTGGTCCAGCCGGTCCAATTGACCAACAGGCCAGTTGGTCCAGCCGGTCCAATTGACCAACAGGCCAGTTGGTCCAGCCGGTCCAATTGACCAACAGTCCAGTTGGTCCAACCGGTCCAATTGACCAACAGGCCAGTTGGTCCAGCCGGTCCAATTGACCAACAGGCCAGTTGGTCCAGCCGGTCCGATTGACCAACAGTCCAGTTGGTCCAGCCGGTCCAATTGACCAACAGGCCAGTTGGTCCAGCCGGTCCAATTGACCAACAGTCCAGTTGGTCCAGCCGGTCCAATTGACCAACAGTCCAGTTGGTCCAGCCGGTCCAATTGACCAACAGTCCAGTTGGTCCAGCCGGTCCAATTGACCAACAGGCCAGTTGGTCCAGCCGGTCCAATTGACCAACAGTCCAGTTGGTCCAACCGGTCCAATTGACCAACAGGCCAGTTGGTCCAGCCGGTCCAATTGACCAACAGGCCAGTTGGTCCAGCCGGTCCGATTGACCAACAGGCCAGTTGGTCCAACCGGTCCAATTGACCAACAGGCCAGTTGGTCCAGCCGGTCCAATTGACCAACAGGCCAGTTGGTCCAGCCGGTCCAATTGACCAACAGGCCAGTTGGTCCAGCCGGTCCAATTGACCAACAGTCCAGTTGGTCCAGCCGGTCCAATTGACCAACAGGCCAGTTGGTCCAGCCGGTCCAATTGACCAACAGTCCAGTTGGTCCAGCCGGTCCAATTGACCAACAGTCCAGTTGGTCCAGCCGGTCCAATTGACCAACAGGCCAGTTGGTCCAGCCGGTCCAATTGACCAACAGGCCAGTTGGTCCAGCCGGTCCAATTGACCAACAGGCCAGTTGGTCCAGCCGGTCCGATTGACCAACAGTCCAGTTGGTCCAACCGGTCCAATTGACCAACAGGCCAGTTGGTCCAGCCGGTCCAATTGACCAACAGGCCAGTTGGTCCAGCCGGTCCAATTGACCAACAGGCCAGTTGGTCCAGCCGGTCCGATTGACCAACAGGCCAGTTGGTCCAACCGGTCCAATTGACCAACAGGCCAGTTGGTCCAGCCGGTCCAATTGACCAACAGGCCAGTTGGTCCAGCCGGTCCAATTGACCAACAGGCCAGTTGGTCCAGCCGGTCCGATTGACCAACAGGCCAGTTGGTCCAGCCGGTCCAATTGACCAACAGGCCAGTTGGTCCAGCCGGTCCAATTGACCAACAGTCCAGTTGGTCCAGCCGGTCCAATTGACCAACAGTCCAGTTGGTCCAGCCGGTCCAATTGACCAACAGGCCAGTTGGTCCAGCCGGTCCAATTGACCAACAGGCCAGTTGGTCCAGCCGGTCCAATTGACCAACAGGCCAGTTGGTCCAGCCGGTCCAATTGACCAACAGGCCAGTTGGTCCAGCCGGTCCAATTGACCAACAGGCCAGTTGGTCCAGCCGGTCCAATTGACCAACAGGCCAGTTGGTCCAGCCGGTCCAATTGACCAACAGGCCAGTTGGTCCAGCCGGTCCAATTGACCAACAGGCCAGTTGGTCCAGCCGGTCCAATTGACCAACAGGCCAGTTGGTCCAGCCGGTCCAATTGACCAACAGTCCAGTTGGTCCAGCCGGTCCAATTGACCAACAGTCCAGTTGGTCCAACCGGTCCAATTGACCAACAGGCCAGTTGGTCCAGCCGGTCCAATTGACCAACAGGCCAGTTGGTCCAGCCGGTCCAATTGACCAACAGTCCAGTTGGTCCAACCGGTCCAATTGACCAACAGGCCAGTTGGTCCAGCCGGTCCAATTGACCAACAGGCCAGTTGGTCCAGCCGGTCCAATTGACCAACAGGCCAGTTGGTCCAGCCGGTCCAATTGACCAACAGGCCAGTTGGTCCAGCCGGTCCAATTGACCAACAGGCCAGTTGGTCCAGCCGGTCCAATTGACCAACAGGCCAGTTGGTCCAGCCGGTCCAATTGACCAACAGGCCAGTTGGTCCAGCCGGTCCGATTGACCAACAGTCCAGTTGGTCCAGCCGGTCCAATTGACCAACAGGCCAGTTGGTCCAACCGGTCCAATTGACCAACAGGCCAGTTGGTCCAGCCGGTCCAATTGACCAACAGGCCAGTTGGTCCAACCGGTCCAATTGACCAACAGGCCAGTTGGTCCAGCCGGTCCGATTGACCAACAGGCCAGTTGGTCCAGCCGGTCCAATTGACCAACAGGCCAGTTGGTCCAGCCGGTCCAATTGACCAACAGGCCAGTTGGTCCAGCCGGTCCGATTGACCAACAGGCCAGTTGGTCCAGCCGGTCCAATTGACCAACAGGCCAGTTGGTCCAGCCGGTCCAATTGACCAACAGGCCAGTTGGTCCAGCCGGTCCATTGACCAACAGTCAGTTGGTCCAGCCGGTCCAATTGACCAACAGGCCAGTTGGTCCAGCCGGTCCAATTGACCAACAGGCCAGTTGGTCCAGCCGGTCCAATTGACCAACAGGCCAGTTGGTCCAGCCGGTCCAATTGACCAACAGGCCAGTTGGTCCAGCCGGTTTGACCAACAGGCCAGTTGGTCCAGCCGGTCCAATTGACCAACAGGCCAGTTGGTCCAGCCGGTCCAATTGACCAACAGGCCAGTTGGTCCAGCCGGTCCAATTGACCAACAGGCCAGTTGGTCCAGCCGGTCCAATTGACCAACAGGCCAGTTGGTCCAGCCGGTCCAATTGACCAACAGGCCAGTTGGTCCAGCCGGTCCAATTGACCAACAGGCCAGTTGGTCCAGCCGGTCCAATTGACCAACAGGCCAGTTGGTCCAGCCGGTCCAATTGACCAACAGTCCAGTTGGTCCAGCCGGTCCAATTGACCAACAGTCCAGTTGGTCCAGCCGGTCCAATTGACCAACAGGCCAGTTGGTCCAGCCGGTCCAATTGACCAACAGGCCAGTTGGTCCAGCCGGTCCAATTGACCAACAGGTCCAGTTGGTCCAACCGGTCCAATTGACCAACAGGCCAGTTGGTCCAGCCGGTCCAATTGACCAACAGGCCAGTTGGTCCAGCCGGTCCAATTGACCAACAGGCCAGTTGGTCCAGCCGGTCCAATTGACCAACAGCCAGTTGGTCCAGCCGGTCCAATTGACCAACAGGCCAGTTGGTCCAGCCGGTCCAATTGACCAACAGGCCAGTTGGTCCAGCCGGTCCAATTGACCAACAGGCCAGTTGGTCCAGCCGGTCCAATTGACCAACAGTCCAGTTGGTCCAACCGGTCCAATTGACCAACAGGCCAGTTGGTCCAGCCGGTCCAATTGACCAACAGGCCAGTTGGTCCAGCCGGTCCAATTGACCAACAGGCCAGTTGGTCCAGCCGGTCCAATTGACCAACAGGCCAGTTGGTCCAGCCGGTCCGATTGACCAACAGTCCAGTTGGTCCAACCGGTCCAATTGACCAACAGGCCAGTTGGTCCAGCCGGTCCAATTGACCAACAGTCCAGTTGGTCCAACCGGTCCAATTGACCAACAGTCCAGTTGGTCCAACCGGTCCGATTGACCAACAGGCCAGTTGGTCCAGCCGGTCCAATTGACCAACAGGCCAGTTGGTCCAACCGGTCCAATTGACCAACAGGCCAGTTGGTCCAGCCGGTCCAATTGACCAACAGGCCAGTTGGTCCAGCCGGTCCGATTGACCAACAGGCCAGTTGGTCCAGCCGGTCCAATTGACCAACAGGCCAGTTGGTCCAGCCGGTCCAATTGACCAACAGGCCAGTTGGTCCAGCCGGTCCGATTGACCAACAGTCCAGTTGGTCCAGCCGGTCCAATTGACCAACAGGCCAGTTGGTCCAGCCGGTCCAATTGACCAACAGGCCAGTTGGTCCAGCCGGTCCAATTGACCAACAGGCCAGTTGGTCCAGCCGGTCCGATTGACCAACAGGCCAGTTGGTCCAACCGGTCCAATTGACCAACAGGCCAGTTGGTCCAGCCGGTCCATTGACCAACAGGCCAGTTGGTCCAGCCGGTCCAATTGACCAACAGGCCAGTTGGTCCAGCCGGTCCGATTGACCAACAGGCCAGTTGGTCCAACCGGTCCAATTGACCAACAGGCCAGTTGGTCCAGCCGGTCCAATTGACCAACAGTCCAGTTGGTCCAGCCGGTCCAATTGACCAACAGTCCAGTTGGTCCAGCCGGTCCAATTGACCAACAGTCCAGTTGGTCCAGCCGGTCCAATTGACCAACAGGCCAGTTGGTCCAGCCGGTCCAATTGACCAACAGTCCAGTTGGTCCAACCGGTCCAATTGACCAACAGGCCAGTTGGTCCAGCCGGTCCAATTGACCAACAGGCCAGTTGGTCCAGCCGGTCCGATTGACCAACAGTCCAGTTGGTCCAACCGGTCCAATTGACCAACAGGCCAGTTGGTCCAGCCGGTCCAATTGACCAACAGGCCAGTTGGTCCAGCCGGTCCAATTGACCAACAGTCCAGTTGGTCCAACCGGTCCAATTGACCAACAGGCCAGTTGGTCCAGCCGGTCCAATTGACCAACAGGCCAGTTGGTCCAGCCGGTCCAATTGACCAACAGGCCAGTTGGTCCAGCCGGTCCAATTGACCAACAGGCCAGTTGGTCCAGCCGGTCCGATTGACCAACAGTCCAGTTGGTCCAACCGGTCCAATTGACCAACAGGCCAGTTGGTCCAGCCGGTCCAATTGACCAACAGTCCAGTTGGTCCAGCCGGTCCAATTGACCAACAGTCCAGTTGGTCCAACCTGTCCGATTGACCAACAGGCCAGTTGGTCCAGCCGGTCCGATTGACCAACAGGCCAGTTGGTCCAACCGGTCCAATTGACCAACAGGCCAGTTGGTCCAGCCGGTCCAATTGACCAACAGGCCAGTTGGTCCAGCCGGTCCGATTGACCAACAGGCCAGTTGGTCCAGCCGGTCCAATTGACCAACAGGCCAGTTGGTCCAGCCGGTCCAATTGACCAACAGGCCAGTTGGTCCAGCCGGTCCGATTGACCAACAGTCCAGTTGGTCCAACCGGTCCAATTGACCAACAGGCCAGTTGGTCCAGCCGGTCCAATTGACCAACAGTCCAGTTGGTCCAACCGGTCCAATTGACCAACAGTCCAGTTGGTCCAACCGGTCCGATTGACCAACAGGCCAGTTGGTCCAGCCGGTCCAATTGACCAACAGGCCAGTTGGTCCAGCCGGTCCAATTGACCAACAGGCCAGTTGGTCCAGCCGGTCCAATTGACCAACAGGCCAGTTGGTCCAGCCGGTCCGATTGACCAACAGGCCAGTTGGTCCAGCCGGTCCAATTGACCAACAGGCCAGTTGGTCCAGCCGGTCCAATTGACCAACAGGCCAGTTGGTCCAGCCGGTCCAATTGACCAACAGTCCAGTTGGTCCAACCGGTCCAATTGACCAACAGGCCAGTTGGTCCAACCGGTCCAATTGACCAACAGGCCAGTTGGTCCAGCCGGTCCAATTGACCAACAGGCCAGTTGGTCCAGCCGGTCCGATTGACCAACAGGCCAGTTGGTCCAACCGGTCCAATTGACCAACAGGCCAGTTGGTCCAGCCGGTCCAATTGACCAACAGGCCAGTTGGTCCAGCCGGTCCAATTGACCAACAGGCCAGTTGGTCCAGCCGGTCCAATTGACCAACAGTCCAGTTGGTCCAGCCGGTCCAATTGACCAACAGGCCAGTTGGTCCAGCCGGTCCAATTGACCAACAGGCCAGTTGGTCCAGCCGGTCCAATTGACCAACAGGCCAGTTGGTCCAGCCGGTCCAATTGACCAACAGGCCAGTTGGTCCAACCGGTCCAATTGACCAACAGGCCAGTTGGTCCAGCCGGTCCAATTGACCAACAGGCCAGTTGGTCCAGCCGGTCCAATTGACCAACAGGCCAGTTGGTCCAGCCGGTCCAATGACCAACAGGCCAGTTGGTCCAACCGGTCCAATTGACCAACAGGCCAGTTGGTCCAGCCGGTCCAATTGACCAACAGGCCAGTTGGTCCAGCCGGTCCAATTGACCAACAGGCCAGTTGGTCCAGCCGGTCCGATTGACCAACAGTCCAGTTGGTCCAACCGGTCCAATTGACCAACAGGCCAGTTGGTCCAGCCGGTCCAATTGACCAACAGTCCAGTTGGTCCAACCGGTCCAATTGACCAACAGTCCAGTTGGTCCAACCGGTCCGATTGACCAACAGGCCAGTTGGTCCAGCCGGTCCAATTGACCAACAGGCCAGTTGGTCCAGCCGGTCCAATTGACCAACAGGCCAGTTGGTCCAGCCGGTCCAATTGACCAACAGGCCAGTTGGTCCAGCCGGTCCGATTGACCAACAGGCCAGTTGGTCCAGCCGGTCCAATTGACCAACAGGCCAGTTGGTCCAGCCGGTCCAATTGACCAACAGGCCAGTTGGTCCAGCCGGTCCAATTGACCAACAGTCCAGTTGGTCCAACCGGTCCAATTGACCAACAGGCCAGTTGGTCCAACCGGTCCAATTGACCAACAGGCCAGTTGGTCCAGCCGGTCCAATTGACCAACAGGCCAGTTGGTCCAGCCGGTCCAATTGACCAACAGGCCAGTTGGTCCAACCGGTCCAATTGACCAACAGGCCAGTTGGTCCAGCCGGTCCATTGACCAACAGGCCAGTTGGTCCAGCCGGTCCAATTGACCAACAGGCCAGTTGGTCCAGCCGGTCCAATTGACCAACAGGCCAGTTGGTCCAGCCGGTCCAATTGACCAACAGGCCAGTTGGTCCAGCCGGTCCAATTGACCAACAGTCCAGTTGGTCCAGCCGGTCCAATTGACCAACAGTCCAGTTGGTCCAGCCGGTCCAATTGACCAACAGTCCAGTTGGTCCAGCCGGTCCAATTGACCAACAGGCCAGTTGGTCCAGCCGGTCCAATTGACCAACAGTCCAGTTGGTCCAACCGGTCCAATTGACCAACAGGCCAGTTGGTCCAGCCGGTCCAATTGACCAACAGGCCAGTTGGTCCAGCCGGTCCGATTGACCAACAGGCCAGTTGGTCCAACCGGTCCAATTGACCAACAGGCCAGTTGGTCCAGCCGGTCCAATTGACCAACAGGCCAGTTGGTCCAGCCGGTCCAATTGACCAACAGGCCAGTTGGTCCAGCCGGTCCAATTGACCAACAGGCCAGTTGGTCCAGCCGGTCCGATTGACCAACAGTCCAGTTGGTCCAACCGGTCCAATTGACCAACAGGCCAGTTGGTCCAGCCGGTCCAATTGACCAACAGTCCAGTTGGTCCAGCCGGTCCAATTGACCAACAGTCCAGTTGGTCCAACCGGTCCGATTGACCAACAGGCCAGTTGGTCCAGCCGGTCCGATTGACCAACAGGCCAGTTGGTCCACCGGTCCAATTGACCAACAGGCCAGTTGGTCCAGCCGGTCCAATTGACCAACAGGCCAGTTGGTCCAGCCGGTCCAATTGACCAACAGGCCAGTTGGTCCAGCCGGTCCGATTGACCAACAGGCCAGTTGGTCCAGCCGGTCCAATTGACCAACAGGCCAGTTGGTCCAGCCGGTCCGATTGACCAACAGGCCAGTTGGTCCAGCCGGTCCGATTGACCAACAGTCCAGTTGGTCCAACCGGTCCAATTGACCAACAGGCCAGTTGGTCCAACCGGTCCAATTGACCAACAGGCCAGTTGGTCCAGCCGGTCCAATTGACCAACAGGCCAGTTGGTCCAGCCGGTTTGACCAACAGGCCAGTTGGTCCAGCCGGTCCAATTGACCAACAGGCCAGTTGGTCCAGCCGGTCCAATTGACCAACAGGCCAGTTGGTCCAACCGGTCCAATTGACCAACAGGCCAGTTGGTCCAGCCGGTCCAATTGACCAACAGGCCAGTTGGTCCAGCCGGTCCAATTGACCAACAGGCCAGTTGGTCCAGCCGGTCCAATTGACCAACAGGCCAGTTGGTCCAGCCGGTCCGATTGACCAACAGTCCAGTTGGTCCAACCGGTCCAATTGACCAACAGGCCAGTTGGTCCAGCCGGTCCAATTGACCAACAGTCCAGTTGGTCCAACCGGTCCAATTGACCAACAGGCCAGTTGGTCCAGCCGGTCCAATTGACCAACAGGCCAGTTGGTCCAGCCGGTCCAATTGACCAACAGCCAGTTGGTCCAGCCGGTCCAATTGACCAACAGGCCAGTTGGTCCAGCCGGTCCGATTGACCAACAGTCCAGTTGGTCCAACCGGTCCAATTGACCAACAGGCCAGTTGGTCCAGCCGGTCCAATTGACCAACAGGCCAGTTGGTCCAGCCGGTCCAATTGACCAACAGGCCAGTTGGTCCAGCCGGTCCAATTGACCAACAGGCCAGTTGGTCCAGCCGGTCCGATTGACCAACAGTCCAGTTGGTCCAACCGGTCCAATTGACCAACAGGCCAGTTGGTCCAGCCGGTCCAATTGACCAACAGTCCAGTTGGTCCAACCGGTCCAATTGACCAACAGTCCAGTTGGTCCAACCGGTCCGATTGACCAACAGGCCAGTTGGTCCAGCCGGTCCGATTGACCAACAGGCCAGTTGGTCCAACCGGTCCAATTGACCAACAGGCCAGTTGGTCCAGCCGGTCCAATTGACCAACAGGCCAGTTGGTCCAGCCGGTCCGATTGACCAACAGGCCAGTTGGTCCAACCGGTCCAATTGACCAACAGGCCAGTTGGTCCAGCCGGTCCGATTGACCAACAGGCCAGTTGGTCCAGCCGGTCCAATTGACCAACAGTCCAGTTGGTCCAACCGGTCCAATTGACCAACAGGCCAGTTGGTCCAACCGGTCCAATTGACCAACAGCCAGTTGGTCCAGCCGGTCCAATTGACCAACAGGCCAGTTGGTCCAGCCGGTCCGATTGACCAACAGGCCAGTTGGTCCAACCGGTCCAATTGACCAACAAGCCAGTTGGTCCAGCCGGTCCAATTGACCAACAGGCCAGTTGGTCCAGCCGGTCCAATTGACCAACAGGCCAGTTGGTCCAGCCGGTCCGATTGACCAACAGTCCAGTTGGTCCAACCGGTCCAATTGACCAACAGGCCAGTTGGTCCAGCCGGTCCAATTGACCAACAGTCCAGTTGGTCCAGCCGGTCCAATTGACCAACAGTCCAGTTGGTCCAGCCGGTCCAATTGACCAACAGGCCAGTTGGTCCAGCCGGTCCAATTGACCAACAGTCCAGTTGGTCCAACCGGTCCAATTGACCAACAGGCCAGTTGGTCCAGCCGGTCCAATTGACCAACAGGCCAGTTGGTCCAGCCGGTCCGATTGACCAACAGTCCAGTTGGTCCAACCGGTCCAATTGACCAACAGGCCAGTTGGTCCAGCCGGTCCAATTGACCAACAGGCCAGTTGGTCCAGCCGGTCCGATTGACCAACAGTCCAGTTGGTCCAACCGGTCCAATTGACCAACAGGCCAGTTGGTCCAGCCGGTCCAATTGACCAACAGGCCAGTTGGTCCAGCCGGTCCAATTGACCAACAGGCCAGTTGGTCCAGCCGGTCCGATTGACCAACAGGCCAGTTGGTCCAACCGGTCCAATTGACCAACAGGCCAGTTGGTCCAGCCGGTCCAATTGACCAACAGTCCAGTTGGTCCAGCCGGTCCGATTGACCAACAGGCCAGTTGGTCCAACCGGTCCAATTGACCAACAGGCCAGTTGGTCCAGCCGGTCCAATTGACCAACAGGCCAGTTGGTCCAGCCGGTCCAATTGACCAACAGGCCAGTTGGTCCAGCCGGTCCGATTG